ATATTGTGTCCCTTTGATAGAGTATTTTTCCAAGTCCGATTTTTTCGAAACCGAAATAGTATATCTTATATACAATTAATTGTTATATTAAGTATTTTATTTTTGTTTAAATAATTTTATTATTTAACCTAATTTATAGAGTCTTATTTCAATATGCGATATAAGATGTTTATCTAGTTATTCCTTACAATATACAGGACTTCCAACACGTGCTTTGAGGTCTCATTATCTTATCTAATTATAATTAAATTTATATTAATTAATGATTATGATTGATTATTTATTTCATATAATAAAATGAATCTAACCGTATCTGCATTTACTTTAAAATTTCAGCTTTAAGACAAATGGCGGAAATGATGGAAAACTTGGTGATGACTAATGTTACAGAATACGATGCCAATTTGAAGCTGTTTGAAAAGGAAATTGTGCAGGGGCCTCGAATATCCTATAGTATACAATTGAAGCTTTACGATATTCTGGTTCCATTGGTTGCTGGTTTAATAATTATTCTAAATCTTTTGGTGGTTTGTTCAAGTGGATTGATATTGAAAAAACGTAAGAAGAGTAGATTTGTTATCTTCAAGAAAAATCTAAAAAAAATGTATATATTTTATAGGACAGCAGCCACGTAGCACATATATATTTCTTGGAAACATTGCTTTGGCCGATATGTTAACTGGCGTATCAACATTGATTGGTCAATATTATCCCAAAGACATACGCACTGAAATGATGTGCTGCATTCAAATAGGTTTGATTAATAATATAAAGTTGTTGGTTAATCACTTCATATATGTATTCCTTTATCAGGTATGATAATATCAGCCACACTAGCTTCCATTTATAGCATTGCACTAATAGCTGTTGATAGATATTTGTATATACTATATGGTTTAAAGTATAAACAATATCTGTCTTCGAAACGTGCACGTTTTATGGTGCTTATGACATGGATTATTGGAATCTTTGTCGGATTCCTCCCAGCAATGGGTATAAGGAATTCAACAGATAGTGGTAGATTTTGTTGGCTGATTATTTTGGAACCCACACCTTTAATTTTAAGTACTGTAATGGTTGGTGTAATGCCTCTGTTTCTTATTATCATCCTCTATGGAATTATACTAAAGAAGGCTTTGGGTAAAATATCCGAGATGAAATCGCATCAAAATGGTGCTATAACACAAAGTGATGACAGTAAAAGACAGCTAAGGTATTTTCGTGGCAATTCGAATAAACTGAAAAATTCTACCCGATCGGCAGCGATTGTAAACACTGAAGATGGAACGAGTGATAAAAGAATTAGTTACATTCAGGAAGAAGTGATTATCGATGAAACGACAAATTCGAAACGTTCGTTTTTTAACTGCTGTCGACGGTTTGTTGCTATAATTTTCTATATGTTTATATTTGTTTTTATTAATTCTATTCAATTTAACAGAAGTACCACTCTGAAGATTTCGTCGGTGTATAGCCCAAGTCGATGGAAGGCCATTAAAATTGTCGTTTTTACTGCAGGATGTTTTTTTGTTACTTGGGTGCCATATTTTCTGGCTTGTGCGCTTTACGTTGTGTGTGAGAAGGATGGAGCACCGAAATACTGTAATAGCTTACGTGTTGCTATTGCCAGTCCATTGGCAATACTCGGTTTGGCTAATAGTCTTCTAAATCCCATAATCTATGCATGGTGGCATAATGGATTTCGGGAGTCTGCCAAAAACATTTACAACAATATATGGAGGCAACGTATTAGACCTATTATACCTTTTACCAAAAAAGATTCGAAAAATGAAATTAATAGCAGTAAAGAAATAAAATCGGAGAATTCACGTGATAAACCTTCGCATAGCACAAGCATAAGTGCGTCCACAGCTTCCAGTTCAGTTGAGGGTTCTGAAAATAAAAATGTTTCTACTAGCATTGCAACAGAAGCTGAAATAAATACAGTTACGATATAAATTCTTTAAAATTTCGAATCTCCGGACGCAGGACTCACTCGAAAATTTTTGAAATTCAATAATTTTGATATTATAATAGATTTTTTTTAAACTCTTTTATTACTCTTAATTAAGGTATAAATAAAAACGATTTATTAGCACAAAAGAGGTTGGGGCTTTTATCACATAAGTTCTACTTGTGCTTTGTAAATATACGACAATCAACAATTTTGGAATATAAAATTGTAAAAAAATCATTTATTTATTAATAAGAATTTGTAATTTGTAAGAAAATCATGTATATATAAATAAATATGTATATAGCAATAAGAAAATTAAAATTTATATAAAAACTATCATATATTTGATTTTATGTATCACGTATATTGAGATACGATATGAAATATATTAGTAGTGTAAACATAAACCTAATGTGTTTACAGTAGCAAATACACAACCCACATTTTAGTGTCCTTGATAGTAATTCTCATAGAGAAAACTTTATTTGCTTCCACCGAATTTTTGTTAATTACCAAGCCCATTGGCCGTCTTAATTTGCCGGCACACTTTCAGTAGTACTACTGCACTTGTCGTTTTTTTATGTCCAAGTATGAATGTAAGTAAATATTAATTTCAGAATTTTAGAACAAATTTATTTTTAATATAATTTTTTAATTAAAAACATAGAATATTGCTAATTTTTTATTTTATAAAACTTGTTTTTTTGAGTTAACGGTTTCTTCTTAAAATCTGTACATCATTATTTGCTCAAGATGCAGACCTTGACTTTGTCTAGGATTATGACGAAGTCATCAAGTCCAAAATTGACCGAAGCACAGCACTCAATGCACTTGGGAGTATAATGTTAGTATGATGAGTTCAATAATATATAATGAGGACAATGTGAGTTGGTATAATGATTGAATAACCCACATCATACTACCTGGGTATGAGCTAACCAAACTGTTGTTTGTTCTAAAAGTTAAATAAGCCAATGACTGTGCAGTCTTTTCTCCATTAAAGGAGCTTTTAATCATCGTTACCGAGCGCATACCATTATACACGTTCGAAAATTTTAGTCTATTTTCTAAACCTTGAAAAGTTTCCCCAATCAAGGTGAGATTCCATAATATATAAGAGTAGAAAATCTCGGAGTTGAACTTTAAAATTTAATCGTAAAAAATAAACTGCGTAAGTTGATAACATAATTCACGGGTTTTCTTTTCGATCCATCAAAGTTGGGTTTTTAGACCCTAGAGTTTTAAATATAAAATAAATATAAAAACTCTTTGAATTCAAAAACTGGGGTTTTAATGGGTTAATAAAAAAATTTTATTTTTAGAGATACCAAAGTCTTGTCTTTAGTAAATTTATTACAGATAAGAAGATTAACAGTTTTCCCCTAGTAATTGTTTCTCAAGTTCCCCACTATTCCTATCAAATTTGAAGGATTTTTCTAATATATCGTAAAACTTGTTCTTTTTTAAAGAAAAAAAATTTTGAGAAGAAATTTTAAGGCAAAAACGTTTCTCTATTCAATCGTAGCAAGTTTAGGTAAAGTGGAAGGAGGATCAAATCCTCCTCAATTAGCTAGTAAAGCCGTTTTGATTCAACAATTCCTAGTAATAATGGGTAGAAGTTAGAACCATCTAGAAGCATTTATAAAACCGAAGGTCTGGCTAATGCTAATGCTGAAGATTTCGCTTAAACCTGCACATACACACAACAGATGTATTGATGTTTTTTCTTCGAGCGTCGGTAGACATGCGTTACGGAAGATATTACAGGGTAGGCTAAGTTTGCCCCCATATCATCCCATGGTCTAGTGCCTTGTAAAGACATATATTAATTTGTAACGAAGTCATGAAAATTGTTCCTTAACCTTTTAAAACCTCAATCGTTGAACTATTTTGTTGTTCGGGAGTTTTGGTTAGTTAGTCAGAAATTATGATGTGCTTAAAAAAAGCATCCTCATAGTAGAATGATATGGCGATAGTTAATTTTCATTTTTGTTTGTGTTTGATATTAAAATAACCTCTGTGTATATTTGAAAAGCCAGACTTTTATTCTATTAGTAATAGTTTTGTCTAAGGATTGCACTGTAAATATATGTTAGGATTTGAATGCATTTTGGAGGAAGACTTCTTTTAGTTAGATTACCACTTTTGTCAAAACCGGGCACTTTTTTTACTTATAAACTTAATTTATGATACAATTTTTCCAAAGCGAGTTCTCTTGATATGGTGAGTCTAGGAAGTATTCTAACACACTTTCCATTTTAATATCGCGAATATCAAAGAGAGTAAATTATAAACATTAGTTGTTTTAAGAATCTAAAGTATTATTACAGTAGCTTACGTGAGATTTATAATACTTTCTAAGTCATATCTTCATATCTTTTATTTTTATTAATGCAAATTATGCTGTCTAGATCTTTCATAACTTTGTAATGAGAGTTCAAGTTTATGACCTTATAAACGAATTTTGTTTTTATTAATAAATAATCATTTTTTTTGAAATTCTACCGGAAATAGCAAATACCATGGTATTCTATGTTGTTTTTTGTGGAAATAATGATTTTTTTTTAGGAATATTAGTAAGTATAACTATAACTTCAGATATTTCAAGTACTGATCTCTATTGACTTGTTCTATGGCTCTTCAGACATTTAGAGAGAAAGATTCAAGTGTAGAGTGGGCAGTTCGAATATCAAATGAACACCTGCTGGAAAAAGAAAGTGGAATTGGAAAGGCTATATACTTAAGCAGCCGTGAAATTACATAGCGAGGCAAGCTTTTGAATGGAATTTACAAGGTAGCAGAAGACCTGGTGTGCCAGCGAAAATATGGATCAGTACAGTCGAAAGTGAGCTAGCTGAAGCACATTATACATGGTACAACAGGGTCAGATTTAGACTAATTATGAGGCCCTACGCCCCATTGGGAGTGGGGGGGGGGGGAGGGTGTGTTGTGTGGACAATAGTAGTAGTAGTAGTAGTAGTAGTAATCGAGTAGTTGTCTATATAACTATCAGTGACGTTTCGTAGATTGGTTGACTTCCTCCTCAAGGCTGTGTTGTTATCACTGCTTCTCAAATACAATAAAGTGCTTATTTTTTTTTGTCTTCAGAGATAATGTTTAAAGTATGATGAATATAATATTTGGTATTATATTTTTAATATAATATTTACGTTTATGAAAGTTAGTTTTAATTAAATTTTTAAATTTTAAATTAATCAAGACAAGTTATCCTAACGATAATTGAGAATTTAATATAATTACTACAAAAAAACAAATAATACATAACGTATACTCATATTTCAGTGCTTTTAAGAGGAATCTTTGATTTTATAAATTTTATTTGATAATTAAAAAATAATAAAGGCTTTTAATAAGACAATTTATACAAAGAATTCATTCAAACGACAAATATTCGACAAAGTTCAATTTATTCGTAATTTAGAGCATCGGCAATAATTTATGAATGTGTATAATAAAATAATAAAATGAATATATGCACACTTTATAAATATATTAGTAATATATTCTGGAGCGCATTGAGCAGATGACCGCATTCAAACAAATGAAAATATAAAACTCTGGACGTAAGTTTGCAGATGCTACTGACTGCCTAAAATGGTCAGCAATTAGGAAATTTTAAGCAATTCTCCATATTTCGTCAAGGAACGTTGTGGTTTTCGTTGTGTTTACTTCCATTCGCTTCTTTCCTATTGCCTTTGGTCCAGTGTAAAGCGTAAGTATCCTGGCAATTTTGTTGTGAGAAAAGTAGCAACTGTCCCACTTCGTACTAGCGTTCGTCTTTTGCATTTTGCTACCAAATCGTAAGATATTTTAATTTGAATCCTTCTTTGGCTTCAAATGAGAAAATAACGCATCCAGTCCAACATCTTAGTGTATCTACGTTGTCGTCGTTGTTGTTATTGCTGTTGTCTGTATTGGTTTAATAATCTTTAGCTGTATGCATCTGAATCTATTTAGGTGAACAATTATTTCAACTGGTCAACGCCCAAAACTGCAAATGCATTTTTAACTTACTTGCAAAATATGAGAATATGCACAGGGAATACGAGTATTCGAATATTCCAGTGCCATTTCAGATGATGCAATTCGACTCCTTTTACTGTGTCTACTTGACTGCGGTTTAATTACTGAGATGCAAATAAAAATATTTCAAATAAATGAAAAATAAAATATATATATACTATACATAACTTATGATGTGACAAAAGATTTAATATTTTAAATTTAAGAAGGTATTTGTCCATATGCAAATTTTATATTTTATATGCTCTTAGGATCCAAAACTAATTTTATTTCAAAATGGCATAATATGAATTTTTTACTTACACTTTTTTTATTACGAATCTTTAAGCCGTATAGATCTTTATATAAATTATAAAATATGTAACACATTTTATTGTATAAACTTTATGTCTAATATATACAATATACTATATATCAACGTCATAAAAACTGTCCATTTCATTTTATATATTCTCCTCCTATATATTCTACAAATTCACAAAACTCCAAGATCGAACATACAAGTCTAGTACGGCTTTGAGTCAGTTGACTAATGAACACTGAGTCTGAATTTCAAATTTGGCAGCGTACACTCAGAAAAATATGTTCTAACTACATACTAGTTGAATAGACCTGATCATTTTGTTAGAAAAATTTTAACTCACGTGGTAAAGTAAATATGAAAATCAACATGTGGTATGGTTGAACTAACATAATGTGCCGAGTAAGAATATTTTAACCTGAGATTTAGTTAAAATCTGGTTAAATCAAATAAATTATTTTTCTGAGTGTACGAGTTCAACCTTCAGTACGTGCAATCTTAAAAAATCGAAAAAAGAAAGGTATTTTCCATCAAGACAATGAACAGGTTCGCACAAGTGTTTTGACAATGGTAAAATTTAACAAATTCTGGAGATCTGGCTCCCTCTGACTTTAAACTCTTTGAAAATTTCAAGCAATTCCTTCGTGGAACGCGTTTTTCGTCGAATGAAGAAGCCATTGCAGTCAAGAAACAGTACTTTGTAGAATTTCCGGAAAATCATTATAGAGATAGTGTGACCTTATTGGAGGATTGTTGGAACAAATGTGTTAAAGTTGCGGGAGACTATTTTGAATAAAAATATTAATTTTCTTAAAATATTCACATATTTTAATTTTTGCTTTCAAAAGTTTTCAACCAATCTGTATTTTCAAAGCGGAAGTA